AAAATTAAAAGGGTTGGGGATGTAGTTTAGTGGTAGAACACACCAGGGTTTGATCCCCAGTACTGAAAAAAAAAGTTTTTAAAATACATGTGGATTTAGAGTTTCACCCTGGGGTTTCTTGTAGCTAGAGAGGGAGAGAGAACCACCCTTGCTTGTATCTTTGGCTGTGTTTCACTGGTGAGAGGGAAATAAATTATACTGGACTTCACTGGCAATCTGAGGGCAAGCTATTCTGTTTTGAATTCATGAAGCAACTCTATGAAAAGCCAATGTTTGATCTAGTACACTGTGAGAATTTTCATTTCAACTTAAGTACCCTCCCCTGTAAAGTGTTTTACCTTAACTGTGAAATTTTAAGTATGGAAATGAACATACCTTGTTCATTCTCTCCCACTTATTTACTGGTGCATTCCTCACCCTGACTAAGGGGTCTCTTCTTCAGGCATCACCTGGAGAAAGCCAGGGGCCAAGGAAACAGCGCTTCTTCAATCAGACATGGCTCCAATGTTGAGGAGGTCAGAGAAAAGTAGAGAAGGCAGAGTGGTTGAGAGCCAAGCAGCAAGGGTTGGTAAGCAGAGTCATAATCCTAGCAATTTGTGAAGTCTAAGCAAGGGACAGAATGGAGGGCAGCATAAGCCAACTCCTCTTTGGAGAAAAACAGAGGCAGAAAAGATACCTGGCCTCCACTTTCCTCTGCTGTCAGCCTGGGGTGAAGTATAAAGGAGGTGACCACCACATCAAGTTCATCATTATCCCTAATGGGGAATTGAGCTTTGTATCTTCCAAAGGGTTCCTTGCAAAGGTCCATAAATATTTGGTTTGGTTTCTTCAGGAACCTAACAGTCCAGGAATTGKAATTAGTGAGAGAAAGGAGTTGAGGAAGGAGTCCATGCTTGTAGAGGACCTATTCTACACATTCAGTAGCTCAACAATTTCTCATTAAACACCACAAGATTAGATTGTTCTACTTATTTTGTGAATGAAGAAACAGAGGCTCAAAGAGTATAAATAACCAAGTCAAAGTTACTCAATTAGTTGATAATCTTACCTCTGATCATGAATCAGTGTGTCTGGATTTTAAGCCAGGCCCCACTGCTAACTGTCCCCGACACCCTGGGCAGGTCAACACAACTCAACACACCATTTAGTAAACATCTAAGTGAAAAACAATGTGAGAAACAAAAATATTGTATCTTTCAATAGAAGGGACAAACAGAGAGAAAATTAAATGTGATGGAGGGACCCTTGTGCAAAGTGTTTGCTTTTCAAACAGGCTCATCTGTACATTGAGCAAGATGAACTCATGCAGGGGTTAGCAAACTTTTTCTGTAAAGGACTAGACAGTAAATACGTTAGGCTTTGCAGGCCATACAGTCTTTGTTACAACTACATCCCTGCAGTATAGCAGCTACAGACCATAAACAATTGGGAATGGCCCCATGGTGTTTTCTAAGAGCAAGGCACTTGCAGATATTTTCCCACCTGGACAACTTGGAGACATACAATCAGCAGAGTATGATTTATTTTCTTAAAATATTTTTTTTTTAGTTGAGACGGATACAATACCATTATTTATTTGTTTACTTATTTTTCTGTGGTTTTTGGGGATCAAACCCAGTGCCTTATGCATGCTAGGCAAGTGCTCTATCACTGAGCCACAACCCCAGCCCAAATTATTTATTTTCTCACTGAATATTCACTCAATAGATACCTGTTGAGTTTCTGAGCTGGAGGACCTTTTACCTTACTTTTTGTTCTGCTCTGAGTATCCAGAATCAGAATAAAGATTTTTTTTCCTTCTTTCTTTTTTCCTACATATGAATATTTCCAGAAATAAACAAATGTTTTAGTATTGATCATAGATATGTAGTATTTTAGAGTTTTTCCTTTGATAATGTCTGAAAAAAATTCAGTGCTAAGAATATTTCAGACGTCACTGTTAAATTGACATATATTGGTTGGAGGATGCTTTCTGTGACCCCAATAAGGAAATSGTCATTGTTAGTATACTTATCAACATAGCTCTCTTTAAAGCTTTATTCCTGTTTTGAAGCTCTTGATGTATTTGTTCTTGCCCCAAATGATAAATCTCTGATCTGCCTTGACTGTGCACATGCAGAGTCATAGAAAGTCAGAAGATAGCAAAGTGAGGTGCCAGACTAACTAAAAGCCTTACTGGTATTTGAAGGACGATGGGTTGTTCTTTATATGTGGAGTCAGGAGATTAGTTAGGAAGGGCAAGCCATCTGAAGGAAGGTAGTCCCATAGCAAAAAAGGGATTCAAGCCAGGGGCTGGGATTATGGCTCAATGGTAGAGTGCTTGCCCAGTACACAAAAGGTACTGGGTTCAAACCTCAGCATCACATAAAAATGAAATAAAGATATTGTGTCTACCTATAACTAAAAAATAAATATTTAAAAAAGTTTTAAAAAGGGATTCAAGTCAGGAAATGGGCCTTGTTTGGGTCCTTTTGGAAATCCCATATTCACCTTCTGCCCTCAAGAATACCTCAAAATG